GCCATGATGAGTGCAGTCCGTGCCTGAGTTCGAATTTGCTTGTGCTCTGGCCGCCGTTGCGTCATGCAATGGCGTGGTTCCGGCGACGGGACATGGCCATTCTTGCAGCAAATCACTAGGCGCACGGGGATTGCGTCCGAACACCAGCTGACAGGGTGATAGGCCTTTCTGATTCAACAGTTCGTTTTTGGCATTCATGGTTTGGACAATGCATTGTTCGTATTCGGTTTTGTTCTTTGGTTGAGCCTGGCCCAAAACCTTCTGCAATATGACTTCGAACAAATGGCCATGCTTCTCTACTTTCCCTAGCTGTGAATGTGCCTCTGCAGCACTGGTGATCATGCGAGCCCCGTCTTGTTCCAATTGCTGGAACACAGCTTCGGCGTGTTGGTTTTCGCCGGATCTGTGATGACTTGCCCACCGTTGCCACGTCTCCCTGAACAAGCGACGAAGGAGCTCGTTGGTTTCTTTCTCATAAAAGGGGACCATGACTTGAAAGCTGGTAGCAAAATCAATGAGGTTCAAACATTTGACTTGTTGATTGGGTTGCCATGAGAGCCTCCTGCGTTCTTCAGAATACGAACTAGGGTTCTAGTGGAAGGATGCCCTAGATTATTGCGCAGTTTCTTCACTAGGGTTTTGATCTTTTCGGGGTCTTGCACTTGAGCCGCAGCACAAACCTCATGACTCTGTTCATAGTTAGCTGTGGCCCCTCACTTGACACACTCTCCTGCAAGCAAGCAAACACAGGTTGCATTGAGGTCGAACGCGTGACATCCATGTTGCTACGGAAGCCTTCTTAGCAGAGCATGGGGTACAGGACAGTACAACAGTCAGTTCCGACACCTATGAGGAGGCCGAGATTGCTGAAGTTTTGGCTGCCACATGGAAGGACCGTCGTTCTGAGATTTCAAAACTTCAGAAGACACGCAAGTTCCAGCAGGCCAACTCCATCAAGAAACAGTTCTCCCGGGAGGTGATCGACCTTCAGAAACGATCTCGCTGTCGCCGATGCAACCAGATCGGACGCTGGGCAAGAAATTGCCCTCAAGCAGCGCGTTCATCCTCCAAGACAGACAAGGAGAAGGTCAACGGAGCAGCTGTTGTTTCGCATGAAGTTTTACTTGTGTCCTCACCGGGCTATGGTCATCAGTCAGACCCTCATCGGTCAGGAGACTCTGGGCGCCTTCCTTCGCCTGTACCACGAGCGACACACGTCGGAGCAGAACCTGTTCCGCTTCGGCAATGGACAGGAGGAACTGTCAGAGCGTGTAGTGTCAATGCCAGTGGTCATCCATGGCCGTCGGGGCCGAATCGATGCCGCTGTGATCAAGGGCGATGCACCCCTCCTTCTGTCGAGGGACTTTGAAGAGCCTCAAAGCAGTCCTCGACTTCTCGAAGGGCACCATTGCAATGCAGGGCGGCCCCATCCGCTGCAGTTGAATGAAGCAAGTCAGCTCATTCTTATAATCTCATGGACACCAAAGAAGCCTTCGTGGTGGAGCAGGAAAAGGTGCTTCCTGCAGATCATGACCAATGGCAGGCTGGACCCACTCGGGTGTGTACAGTGCGGGAGCAACGTTGTCTCCTGGCTCAACAACGGGCTTGGAACAGAACAGAAAGCACATGCGTGGCGGCAGAGTTGTTTTCACCACCACGGTTCAGTGACTATGCTGCAAAAAGGGGAGAGGAAGGGGCTGTCTTACGACATCAAGCAGGGTTGGGATCTGTTGAAGACATCAATACAGCGACAGGTCGACCTTCCTATGCTGGAGCAACTACAGAATGAGCGCATTGCCCAACGACAAGCTGATTTTTGCGTTCAACAAATCAAGAAGCAAATCAAGCGTGGAGGCCGTGTGTTGGTGGAACATCCCTGGGCCAGTGATCAGTGGAAATATCCACCAATGGCCAAGTTACTGAAGTCAAATCAACTTGTGGTGCATCGCGCCAACATGTGCGCATATGAGTTGAAAGACCCAGACAATGGTCAGCCAATCCTCAAGACGACTGGCCTTGCTGTTTCGCACCCCGACATGGCGTCCTTAGCCTTGCAGTGTCCAGGACCGGAACATCATAAGACACACCAGATCATTGCTGGACACACGCATGATGGGACTTGTCGTAGTGCTGTTTGCGCTGCATAGTTCACCAAAAACAGCAGAATCGGGCTGGAGCCGGCCCCGTCTCCGGTTCTGTGGCTTCTGCTTCATGATGAACCATGTAAGCTCCTCTGCTAGGTCGCTTGGCTACCCGGAAATCCGGAAAGCAACTGCGCATAGCCGCCACTACGGTCTCCAGCTTGAGCTCTCCCTGAGTTTTTGCCGTCGCGAGTCACGATTGCCCGTTGATCGGACGACAGTCCAGAGGCGTTGAGACAAACCCAACCCCGAGCCTTGATGGGAAATCCACAGCCACCTTGCGACGGCGCTTGGAAAAAGCCTCCTGCGCACGAGAGCGCCAGGCAGCAATGCTTTCCCCTTCAGTTGCTTGCAATTCGAAGACCTCCTTGAGACACTCAGCCATGTGGTCGTGAGCAAGCTTGTCTGGGAAGCGTTCATCTGAAGCTGCCCAAATGTGCTTGTCACCATTCTCCTCACGCATTTTGTCGAGCGTGAGGTGTTCAACTGTCTCTAAGGCCAGCCCATCTAGCAAGCAGAAAATGAAAGGGCCTCGTTGACCTGGTTGCATGTCCTTCATGGAGGCCATTTTGGCCAAAGCCCACAACCGCCAGCGACGATATTCTTTGGGGTCCAGGCTCTCACCACTGAACCGTTTCATGCCAGCTGAACCATCACTTGAAGATGCCATGGCAAGTGACACTGCTTTTGAGCTTCACCGTCAAACCTAAGACCGCTCTACTTGGATACCCCCGCCCCTGTGCGCAGGGGCTCCGCTACCACTGTGAAAACAAGGGCCGATTGGCCCACAACAAGGGTTCCTACCCTCCCAACCGCGTGGCCACTTTTCTCCACGGTTCTGCCTCGAACCAAAGGTGCCTGAAGGAACGGGTCGTCCTGGTGACACTGCCTTTACATATATATATATATATACATTCACATTGTATCGTGTTGTTTACATCAAACGCGCTCCCCCTTCATGATGGAACTGCACCGACCGTTTGTCGTATTTCCCGAAAAGACCCTTGGCGTGAGTCTGTCGGAACTTGGGCACATTGATCTGCCAAACTTTCGCGTTGGTAAACTCGGTCATTGTGTCCATGAGAAGCACCTCATGGTTGAGCAGCTTGCACTGGAGGAACACTTGACTGATGCAGTGAACGGGCTCCGGCAAGCTCAGATCCAAGCTAGGGAGACTTGACTCAACAGCTTGGAGAGGCCTGGTTGCTGGACGGTTGCATCCAATTCTTTGCTGCAAAGGCTCTGAATTTGCAATGAGAGCATGATTTATGACCTGCATAGTGGTGCCTGAATCTCTGAAAGTTTATGTGGTGTGGACATGGCAGAACCCAAGGACATCTTGAAGCTGGTGCAGCGTTGCCGTGGTCTGGAAACTGCTGTTGACTTTCAAGTGGGGTTGCTTTCCTTTCGCGATGTCTTGAAAGACAGACGCTACTTGGAAGAAAAATAATCTTGAAAAACAGAGTCTAAAATCTAAAGCAAAGTATAAATACAAAATAAACACCGTCCACTCTTTGAGGCGAGCCAGAGGAAGCCTTGACCAACCCACTCCAGAGGTTCGATAGCAAGGGTTCGCGTGACTTCTGGAGCATTTACCACAAAGAGGACTGCAGACAAGGTGATCTTAAGATAGACAAGTTTCAGAACAGAGATTTGATTCAGTTTCTTCAAGGCTCAGCAACAATCCCAGTCCCGAAGCTTAAATTGGCCCCAGTGCTGTCAAGTCCAGCCCTTGCAGGACAGCAAGTGGGTGCCAAGCCAAAACCAGCCAGCCGAGCTGCCTCTTGGCCAAGTTTCCCTCAAAATCTCAGAATGGTCCGCTACACAAGTCCCAGCTCGACGGGCCCTCCACGGGACCGACACCATGAACGGGCCTGTTAGGGCGGCGGGGGGAGCTTCCTTGAAGAAGCGTGAGCTATCCTGCGTCCTAGAAGCTAACTAGTCTCCCCTACTCTATCAAGTAGGCGCCTACTTATATACTTACAGTAAGTAGTAGCGGGCTAAACAAGAAATAACAAAGCAACTACTGTACCAATTTGTTCAAATCCATCGGACCCAAAGAGATCCAAAAAACACTTTTGGTGCATGCGAAACGGCTAGCATGCTCGGATGCTCGGATGTGGGAGAGCCAAAAGGAGCGAAACACGGGTTGTTGAGTGAGGCTCAAGTCTTTGCTCCCGAAGTCGGAAAGCAATGACAAGAACAAGGTGCAGACGGGGAGCTTCGATATTTTGCGATTGCTATGTTTTCCTTGCAGGAGAGCCATGCAGCATTGAAATCAAAGCGTTCGCAGGTTGCCCGGAAGGCCAGGGCGATAGGAGGGCGGTGGTATAGAGGGGGGCTGGCAAGCAGTCCTGCCTTGAGGAACGCGAAATCTGCGTGCAGATCTGTTTGAAACTTGTATTTTGCGCTTGGTATTTTGCTTCGTTCTTTCGTGCATGTAATTCAGAAGGAAGCACATCAAGTGTCCAACCTTGGAAACCTAGCAGGTCTTGGAGCACCGTCGCGAGATCCAGCAAAAACGCTTGCCACTCATTGAGCCAAAATCCAAGCCTCGAGCAACACCAGAGATCCAGGAGTGCATATCATGGCATATCTCTAAGTCGATTTATGTCTGACAGTCGCCTTCCATGTAGACATTTTATTGATAGAGTGATGCATTTTCTTGATGTACTAGTAGCAAGAAACTACTAGGGGCTTCTGGCCTTACTACAAGGCACAAGGACGCTCCTGGCCGTACTACTAGTAGCAAGAAGCTACTAGGACTAGGAACAAAGGGCTGATGAGATCGACCAGAATCTCAGTGTGCCTCACTCCTGGAGCTCGCTGGCTCAGGAGTTCCATCTTGACAGCCGGCCAATGACGCGGCAGGCGCGCGGACCGATGTTGGATCGACGTTGAATGAATTTGTTTGCAATGAAATCCAAAGAGTCTACAAAAGAGATGAAAGAAAAAGCTAAGGGCCCGGTACCTTCTTTGATCCACGGGGCCCTTGCCTTCTTTTTGATCTCCTTTTAAAGGCCTTTGAGGGCCCTTCCGTTTTTATTTTGTTTGCCTTTGGTCCTGTGAAGGAGCAGGGCTACTTTGATCTGGGAAGGTTCCTTGAGCCCAAGCGCCGGGCAGCAGGAGCAGGTCAGCAAACGAAAAGCAATGTGATCGTGTCAATGGTGGTGATCGCACAGTTGCACCGCCTGGTTTTCAGGCGAGAGCCGTTCCTTGCCCCTTCTGCCCCGCCTGAGCAGGCCAAAGCTGGGGTGTGCTTCAAGTAATGCAATGTTATGCAGCATTATTGCCTACACACTGGACAGGTCCTCTCAGGATGGCAATAGCTCCATGCACCTTGACTGCAAACACTTATGACTGACTGTCAGGTGGTGGGTGTTTGGGTACACCAGGGCTTGAGGTTGTCAAGATCCTGTGGTCCTGTGCAATCACACCCCATGGTCCGGTGGCTCATTCCACTTTTCATTTCTGGGTTACCTTTGTGCACACTTTGCTTTGAACATGGCTTTTGACGTCTTCAAGCAAAGGTACTCCTCAACGTCAAGTTGGAGACGCGACACGGGCATCGGCATGCAGCTCCATGGAACCCAAGGAACGTTGCTGCCAATGTTGCAGCTGCCCAGCATGTCCGAAGAGATGCCGACGTGCCTTGGCCAGAATTCGGGATGTTCCGGAAGATACACACCATGTACCTTGATCAAGATCATTTGGGCCACCTGTGGTTCATTGCGCAAAAAACGAGCTGTCTCGCCACGGAACTGCAGAAGTTGGTCATGTATTTTTGGAAGCACTTGTAGGCAGCGTCATAGGACCAAATGCAGAGTGCTTTCAGATACTTGTCCGCTAAAAGTTAGCCGCTAAAAGACAGTTCAAGGATACATTACACTGTCATTACACGTTTTGAGCTGTGCTTCTTTTTCTTCCCAAGATCCGAAACTTTTACTGGATGCTCAAATTAGTGTGACTTGGGGGAACTTGTTTGGCTTTGTTTTGAAGTCTCTTCCTGTAGCACTCGGCAGGATCTGATCTGAGTTTCCTCCACGCAGGTATCCAAGCATCCTACATTTTGGTACACACATTTCTGGTTGTGGTTTGAGTTCAAGAAGGTTTTGTTGGGAACATAACTTAACCGACCATTTCTTCTTCTGCCAACTTTGCCCTGGAACAAGACTACAACGCAACGAAGTCTTCTGGTAGTTTGTTATCAAACAATAGAAAAGGCAATTTAAAGGAGTGCTCAGAAGACAGCTGACTCTGAATTCATTTGACCACGCTAGAAGCTACTTGCAAGAGAGAGAGAGAGAGAGAGGGAGAGGGAGAGGGAGAGAGACATTCCATGGGATGCTGGATGGACCATGAGCAACAATGTGCAGGAACTTGACAAGAACAGCTCTGAGCTTCGAAAGTTCTATGCCAGTTCCCCTGGAGAAAGTTGCAGAACCTTTTCTGCGGCCTTGGCAATCTCAGGCCTGAGCATTGCAAACACATCAAAGCTGTTGCAACTCTTCGTGAAGAAATTGTGAGAACTTGAGAACAAATGCCAAGAGTTGGGCCTTGGCAGAAGGCAAGGGTACAAACTCGATCACCCACTGCTGGGAAAGGCTTCCCCATGCTAACATCATCCGCCATCCCACTGCATGACTCCGTGGCAGAGAAGGAAAGAGTAGCAAGCGCAGCACGTGCAGGTCCGGACTGAAACTGGCCTGCCTGAGCCAGAGGCAGAAAAAGACTCGGCAACGATGCGCTATATTCGAGCTGCTTGGCTGCGTGCGCAAGGAATGCATTTGCTGATGGTTTTGCTGTTCTTCTTTTCTTGCTTACCATCTTTTGGGATATTTGTTTGCAACCTTTCCTGAGGTGTGCAACGCCACTGGTGTCGTACCAACAGCTGCTGTGCTGGAGATGGTGCGACAGAGCGCCATCTACAGCGGTGGCGAGCTTCTGTTGGATGATGAGCCATTTGGATTCACAAGCAAGCCATGCAAATGGATGGTTTGATATTGTTGTTGCTGTTTGCTTGTTTAAATTTTAAAGTCTGATGTTGGCAGAAATGTGTTGAGTGTTCTTTTGGAGGTCAGTAGTATATAGAATTGACCGGTAAATATTGCCAGAGCTCCCTTGCTTTTGCAACAACAGAGGTTGCTGGCCATGTCATCTTTGATCGGCGGCGGACTTGGAGACCCTCCTTGTGGGAAATCACAATGACAACTGCATGTTTTTGCATGTAAAGAAACAGAAATGCATTCTGAGTTTCTGAAGCCAGAATTGTGGCCTCCTTGTTGTTCGGAGACCTCTTCCTAATTTCCCAGGCCACCTTAGCAGCATTCGCGAGGCACAATCGGCATTTGGCCAAATTGGTTCCGGCTTCACTTCTTAGTCAATTGCTTGGATTCAGAACAGAAGATACATACTTACTGTATTACAGTTGCCAGGTGGTCTTGGCTGGGAGCACCAAGCTGAGCGACAGTGCCTTGCAGAGTTTTTTGCAGCAGCTCTTTGGGCGACCCGTGGCTGAGCTGCGCTTGTTTGACCCAAAGCATACCCAAAGAACAGAGGACTCCGTTCAGGACATTTCAGCATCTTCAGCATCTTCTTTGGGGTCATTGTTCGGAACAAAAATTTGGAGCAGAGGTCCTGAGGTCCTCTCAGCTGAGTCTGTCTAGGAACCAACTCAATCAAGCCTGAGCAGATTGTCCGTTTGGGCGCCTAGTAGCGGCCGTTACTGACTAGTAGCTACTCTAGCCATCTCTAGCTGGTCTTTTACCCCTGCCACTTACAGTACCTAATCTTACTGGCTAGGTCGCTAGGTCTCCCCTGCCCACCACCGCCAAGGCGATGGATTCCTTGGAAAAGCTGGACCTGGCCAGATGCCGTGGCGCTGGGCCGAAAGCTGTCTCTACACTGGTGGCTTTGCTGGTGGCCGCATGATGAAAAGTACCAGACATATTGAGATGCGAACGGGCTTGGGTCGTGTGCTTTTCTTGGGGGAAGGCAGCTCTCCTGAATGTGTACAAGAGGATGGGTGCCATCTCCTTGCGGCCATTTTAGGTTGTTTGCTCACCAACTGAATGTTCCAACATGCTTTGACTATAAGTTTGGGATATCTAAGCAACTGGTATCACTTGCCTCTTCCTTTCAAACTCAGGGTTCTTCCTTCACCTGGTCATTCTTGTATCATACCTCGCTGGTGCATACTTTGAACTCCGCGTTTTGTTTCTCAATTTGGTTGGCTTTGGCCCGTAATTTGATGTCGAAGTTGCACTCTCTCCGGACTCGTTGCTTTCTCCTTCCAATTGCCAGCCCTCTCTATGTCTCTCTCTCTCTCTCTCTGTCTGTCGCCTATGAAGTCAAAAACTCCCTCTTCCCCCTTGACCACTGTTTTGCGAATGTTTTTGGGGCCCACTTTGGTAATTCAGGAAAAATGAGGTGTTTGCTTTTTGACTCGCATCTAGGAATCCAGTGGCCTCTACAAACTGAGACACCTGGACATCAGTGGTATTCGCATCTCTACTTCTATGATGACAGCGCTGTGCCACTCTTTGCACGTGCACCCTGCAATCCGCTGCCCCTCGGCTGTTGGCTATTGGAGAACTTTTGTGCTTGTTTTGTCAGCTTGTAAAGTTTGGTATATAAATCTGTGGAGGTCTCCATATCGCCGACACAACGTTGGGTGTTCACCCCAACGCTGCCAGCTGTTTGCAAGATTTGCTTGCAGCCCCATTGGAGGTGCGGACAGTTGCGAGGTTTTGTTGAAGCTCCTGTTCGACTATCACGCATAGTATATCTACATATACTATATACATTGATACATGTATATGTAAATATGTATACGGGTGGAAGTGCTTAGTCAGGGTTTGTATTTTGTCTAGCTTTGTAAGCTCACCATTGTTTGGGACGTGCACAAAGTTGCTGCAAGGGTGAATCAACACCCACGACGCTTCTGTCAGTGTTGCTAGGATTGGAGATGTTAAAGAGCGAAGACAGGAAGGAAAGAAAGTAAAGAATAGCTTGAGCATTCCTTCGTCCTGGGTAGTAGCTTGATTAGCTGCTACCACTACCACTACCACTACGACTACTACTACTACTACCACCACCACCACCACCACTACTACTTAGTAAGCTGTACTGTATACCGACTTACGACCTCCCGCCCACCCCTCAAGAAACCGTTTTGGGAGTTTTCTGTTTCCAGGTCTTGGGTCTTGGTTGGAATTGCTTCTCCGAAGAGGCCTTGAAGTCATTAGGTGACATGCTTCTTGGATGCAGTTCTTCGGCCCCGGCAGAATGTCATAGTTTTTGTCCTGTAGTCTAGTACTGCCATAGAATGGGGTACATCCAGAATGTGTGGCATGCTAGTTACTACTCAGTACTCCTTAAAGCCTTGTTCTGCTGTTTTGACAAAAGATGAAACAGATCAGAGATGGGAGATCTCTTTAAATCCGCACATGAGGCTTTCCGGACACAAGCGACTGCGTGAGCTGCACATGCCAAACTGCGACAGCTGCGTTGGCAGTCACAGCTCCACCCATGTCTTTCTGGAAGGCGAATGCTTGACTGGTTTGTTGGAGTTTGATTCACATATTTTTAGATCTTTTTCAGTAGTTTTTCAAGGCCTCTACCGAAATAGCAGCCTTACGACGCTCGACCTCTCCATGAATCGGCTGGACTCCTTTGGTGCCTTGATCTTGGAGGCTCAAAGCCGCATGTTGGATGAAAAATGCTGCATGTCTGTGTCCCAACAAGACTCCCTAAAAGATTGAACGCCGACCACTCACACGGAATCCAACATGAGATGTCCTGCTGTCCATCCGTCGCTTGGCCCGTGGCGCAGGACTCTTTAGCTCAGCATGCGAAGCTGAAGGACAATTACTGGCTTCATTGCAGTGTTGGCTCCTTTAGACTTCAACAGTGCTACTGGATGCTATACCAGGTTGGAGGCCATCGCTAGTACGTAGGTTGGAGGCCATCGCTCTTAGGTTGGAGGCCATCGCTACTAGGTCGGAGGCCATCGCTACTAGATGTTATACTAGATGTGACGTCTGTCAGCCTAAGCCTTTGTGCAGGAGCTCTACATGAACCAGAACCCGCTGGGTTCCCATGGGCTGCGGTCCTCAGCTTAGCTGCAAAGCCTGTGAGGGAAAGGTCTGAATAGAGTTATATATATATATATACAAGCATTGTGTCAATGAAGAAGCACCACATATTTTTGCAAGAATCGGAAGTCGTAGTGAGTAGAGCAGTGCTCACTTGTGTGGAAGATGGTAGTGGTATGTCGTGGTCACGTTTTCATGCGTTTTAGGTGTTTACTCCGGCTGTTAAGCCTCAGCAGCTGCGGGCTTCGATTGCTGGAAGCATATGGCTGTCAAGGCTGACGACGAGCTAGGAGGAGTCTCTTCTTAATGGTTATTTGGAGTGCCAATATGGGACAAGTTGTACAACTCTCACGCAGTGATATTCGAATAATGATTGACGTTTCGACCAATAGGTTCCACAGATGAGACACCTGGAGACATTGAGAACCCGGATCTGCAGATCTCATTGCAGAACCCGCAGGTAGTGAGAAGCCCACGTATCAAGCCACAGAGCCTTCAGGGCTTTACCGGTGCCGAACTCAGCAGTGTTCTCCGATTCCACTCGCGGGACGAAGCACAGGCACTGTCATGGTACCGCCGTCCTTTGGAGTTGTGCTTTGTCCTTTTTCAGTGCCCTGAGGTTGGATCTAAGCCTGGCCCATGGCAGGCAGCTCTGTCTGCATTACCCAAACTTGAAGTTAACTGTTTGGGACTCACCTTGGGAGTGCAGGATGCAAGGTAGCTTTGCCGATGTATATAACGATACAGCAGGGAAGTGTTACAGCCTTTGTGCAATTTATTGATTTTGCAGCCCACACCCACAACAATGTCGAGACAAGAACAGAATGACAGGGATGAATGTTGGTCTTCCAGCATTTTTAGAGCGTGGCAGGTCACTTCTGCGCTTGCTCTACAAGACATGCGAAGCCCTGAAACTGGACATTCCTCAGGTGGAGCTGGTTTTGGCTTTGACGAGAATTGAGTTGTGTGAGAACAAGTTGGAGCCTTGATGAGATAGGAGTTTATTCGAAGCTATTATCGATTTCATGACAAGAAGACAAGTTGCGCGAACTTGCTTCCGGGTTCGTGAAATTACCAGGCCTTCCAGAACTTGGTGTACACCCCGGCAGACTTGTCAAGGCTGATGTGTTGTTTTGGCATTCTCACATGATGCATGCTACTCTGCACCACTTTAAGACGCGGATGCTCGTACATGGGCGTTTAAACACTTAGCCACTTGAAGACCTGGGTGATTCGTATGTCTTTTCTTGTGTATATAGATCCTGATCTTGCCTTTAGGAACCAAGCGTCCTGGCCTCGGGTCGCCGAAGAAAGAGAATGATCAACCGTCCCCGATGGCGACCCAGGTTTCAACATCCAGGGAAAGATGCCTTTGGTGCCTTGCACTCAGCTGCACCAAAGGACTTCAAAGCCCCCGATGTGGCCCATGTTGCATGATCTGGGACGGTGCCACTTGAGGTTTATTCTGTCCCCACCTCGGGCATTGTCAGCTTCTGCTTTACTTTGGATCCTGCCTCACACTGAGACTGAAAAGAGAACATGAGTTGAGCATGAGATTCAACAACTTGAGAACATGAGAACACACATGAAAGCACAGCTCGACCTCGAAAAGCCGCTTTCAGGCACGGGGAAAGCTGGTTCCGGAGACAGAAGGTCTTGACGGCAGGTGCCAAAGTGACTCTGCAGAACCTGTTGGAATCTGTTAGACTGCCTTGACTTTCGTTTTCAACCTTCAATCTTGATCAATTTGTTTCTATGCCTTTTGTTTGGGATCTAGAAACATGTCGAAACCCTCCAAGATTTCAGGCCTTCCGGGTTAGAACAGAAGAAAGAAGGATTGGGCATAGAAAAACACCTTGAATGCTTTTCACTTTCTTAACCAACCAGAGTTTGCCCATACAGGTCTTGTTGAGATTGGCAGGTTTCGAGGGCCGCGGCCACTGGCTTCAATGTATTTGGACCGTCACTTTGTGCGCCTTGGGAGATTGGGAAACAAAGAGACAAAAGTCTTAAAGGCTCATGAGCCGTTGATGTGTTGATTTGATTATATAATAAAAGTGCGCCCCAGCCACCCCCTATATAGGCATTTTTGATCATTTTTGACTACTGTTTTAGTGAGCATGTTTTTCAGTTCATCCAACGATAAAGGGCACTGCACGCCTTTTTCAACGCGCCGGGCCACATAGCCAGGCGTTGCTGCGGCGAAAGCTTACTTTCCGCAAGGCCGGGCAAGGCCCAAAGGTGCCCAACGACCAGGTCTGTCACGACCAGGTCTCTGCCAGACCGAAGAGCGCCCATTCTACAATCAAAAAACTAAACTTCTATCATTCCATCCTTCAGGTCGTTTGTTTGCTGGCGCAGTTCAGAAGCCACTGGCTGAGAGTGCATATTTGTTTGCTTCTGCTGTGTCGATCAGTGGTGCCGGACCCGACCTGAGGCCTTAAAGGTCGACCCGATGAGCAGAAACTGATCCTCGTCGGGAGCTCTCAGGTTCAAATTCTGCGCCTGGCTTGCTTGCCAGCAATCTTCAGGCTATAGACTACTAGATAATACTAGATACAGATCATGTTATAGAAATGCTTTTGCTTGCTGATGAAGTCTTTTGTGAGATGCATTGCCATTCTCTGGCCCCAAGGATGCTTTGTCTGCGGACTTCACTTTGGAATATGACTTTTTGTCTGTCATATCAGAGGTGAGGAAGACTTGTGTGAAGAAGACTTATTGGCTCCTTCTTATTCTTGGCGCTATTTGTATATATTTGGACGACAGGATGCAGTCCAGGGCATCGACTCTCTGTGTCTTCTGCTTGCTGGTGTTCACAGGCCATGGTGTCGGAAAGCAAGTGGAACAGTTGGATGGAAGTTCAAACACAGGTCCAAACAGTGTAGGACCATGACCAACCAAGGAGAACTGAAGTGTGACAAGGTGAAATTAAACACAGCAGGGTAGAGACCTGGGCAGGTCGCAGGTGCGCCTTTTCCTTGCACAGGACTCAGGACTCTGGTATTTTCACATTCTTTGCATTGATTAGGGTGGAGGCCATCGCTACTAGGGTGGAGGCCATCGCTACTAGGGTGGAGGCCATCGCTCTTCCTCGTAGGTTCCTTTTGCTATTAGGTTGCTTTACATGCCAATTTGTGCAAAGTTGGACGGGCCAATGGTTTCAAGGCCCTCACGCACTTGCCACGGCTGCGGGAATACATCAAGGCCTTCATGCTCGCGGAATTTCTCAACTGCAGAGCTTAGAGTTTGGGAACAGAGGTGGCCAAGCAAAAGAGACACATTTCTTGCAACGACTTGTATGACTAATTTAGCAATTGTTTTTGGGCTTGAACAACTGGAAGAGGATTTGTGCTTTCACTCTCGTGTTTGTCGGAGAGGTCTACAGACGCTGCGAGAGGCTGCAGTTGCTTGTGGGTCCCTTGTAGCGTGACATGTGTGGCTTTTGCTCGCAAGGGTAGTGGTCCAGTGTGCTGGATTCTGAATGGACCACCCAGAATGACCTGACATGATTTGTGACGTGCACACAAAGCACTGAATGTATTGTGCTTTATATTTGCGCAAGGCTCTTCATCTTTAACCCAGAGAGTCCTTCAGGGTCCGGATACCACAGCTTCGGCTTTGCAAGCGTAGGATTTCTGTCTTGCCTTGTCTGAGATTTGAGGCACTACATCCTCGATCTGTCGAATTCGGCTGATTTTGCAGTGGCTGAGATGTTGAAGATGTCGCTCCCTCATTGACTTGATGAACGAAGAAAGCGGTATCAGAATCTAGTGGCAAGAAGCTACTAGTAACAAGGGCAGTACTACTACGAACTTCTTGCTACTAGTAGCGATGCCCTTGTTATTAGTAGCGATGCACTTGTTACTAGTAGCCAACTGTTATATAATTCACCAAACCTGGAAGACTGACAAGGCTGGATGCCTGGGAGTCCTCAATCGCACGAAACAAAGGCTTAGAAGATCGCTCTCAGCTGCTTGGTGCAAGCGGCAATCTTGAATGTTCAGTACAGAGTACAGAGTCTCACAAAGAGATGGGGTTTCTTCATTTGCAGGATGTTGGAACATTGTTTGTGGTGGTGGCACATTTGGTGACTTTATCCTGACAGTTACTGTAGATTCTTTTGCATCGATTCCTTGAGAAGCCTCATCTTTATTCAGAGATTGCTGCACTGGTGCAAAATCTAAGGCATGGCAACTGGTCAAGTGCTTTGCTCTTAGTCCTTGATTGTGTAGCATTTCCAGTCAGCAAAATAGATGGATGTTGACTCAAAAGCAAGGAAGGAAAGGTCGTGCTACTACTGTACAAGTCAGTTGCATTACAGTACAAAACATGTGGTCATTGAGGTGCGCAACTGTAGACATCAAAACAATTCGATGATCTCCTTAGCAGATTGGTTGGGTGCTCAGAAGGACTGTGTCTTGCGGGGTATCGATGGACGCCAAGTCAACAATGGCTGCATGCTCATTGATCGGAAGCCAGAATTTGGTGACAACATGGCAAATATATGTTCTGTGTGAATGTATGTGAATGTTCACCGGGCTTCTGTTGTATAAAGCTGTATTTTGTATCCTTGAAGGTTGCACATTTCCTCTATCTATCTGAAGTCTGGTCCGGTTTGCATTGCTCGAGCTTTCCAGGTTTGTCTCTTTTTTGGACCAGTCCTTTTCTGGAAACGTATATATATATATATATAATATATATATAATTAATGTGTTTCTGCTTTTCTATTCCGTGAGGGCACGGCTTTAAGCAAAGCAAGCAGCAAGCAGAAATTAGTGCCACTTAACCCGCTCGCCCTACAGGTTATGAATTGGCCTAAGGATGCTCAAGGTTTACCCACACACGCTTCCATAGACTAACCCGGTGACTCACCCTCTGACTTCTTAAGCAATGTTGAGTAGATTTTTTTCCCCAGCTCTGTCGGACAACCGGAAAACTCCGCTGAGGATCATCCCCTTCCATGAAACTTTGGAGTTGGACTTCATCACTTGGAGACGTCCAGGTCCTGATGCACATCCATTCCCGATGGAGAGGTGCATCCATCGGGTGGGCAGTAGATCTGGTGTGGGCGTTGATCCATCGTCTTAGTCCTCGAATGTATCCCCTTTTGCTTGTGCACTTCTTTGGTGCCAGTTGGGACGAGATGATGGCGAAACTTGCGCAGGTGGGGGACGCAAGACTGCATTTGTGAAGAGTTTGAGAAAAACAGTTGCAACTTGCAAAATGGGTATCAACTTCATCTTAAACTTACTACTTCTGTAATGCAACACCATGTCCAGCTTTAGCATTATCAGGCAAGCATGTTTCTTGCAACTGTGGTATTGGGTGCTTGAGACATTCAGGTCAATGTTACTTCTTCTATGTACTGTATATAAATAGCCGGTCAGCAGGGTATCGTGAAAGGGGTGAGATACCTGAAGGAGTATGTCGTGGAAAGCTTACTAAGCTCCGAGAGCTTTTGGAAGGCGCCGCTCAAATCACGGGCCAAAGTCCACGTACTGCGGAATGTTTCTGCCAGGTGCCCTAGGCTCACTGACACGACAGTGATCATTCTTATGTTTACAATTGGACATCATGATTTTGAGGATGAATACCGTGCCTCGGGGTTCTTGTCTTTGAATTGAGGATCGCATCTTCCTGACTTCCATGCAGTGTAGACAGCTCGCGGGTATTTTTGGAGAGCGAGAGCAAAAGATGGAGGCCGGGAGAGCCTGGACCCCTTCGGTTCTTCAAACTCTAAGCACAAAGAGACGACTCTGAGGGCCCTTCGATAACGGCCCTATTAAAGAGGCCCTCACCTTCTGTTTTGCATCATTTTATTCAGCAAGGCGGCGCCTCATACTCTCATGCCAATCATGCCATTCTCCAGACCAGAGGCGCTGTGCTGTGTGCTGATGCGCCTCTCAGATCCTCAAAACATGCCGCGCGGCGGAGCTTGAGCACGGAGTTTCTTACATGCTTTGTTTTTTCTTTTACATTGCATTAT